CGGGAGGAGGAGGAGGAGGAGGAGGAGGAGGAGGAGGAGGAGGAGGGAGTGCGGCCGCACACGCGCACTGGTTGGCCGGGAGCGGGCGAGCTCCTCGTCCGACTGCTATAGAAAGGGGAGGAGGAGAAGGCGGAGGGCGGCCGCGGGGGCCGCGGGAGGAGCCGCCGGGAGCGGAGGGGGCGGCCGGGCTGTGCCGAGCAACGCCCGGGTCGGGTCGGGCGAAAGGGGGGGATAGCAAAGGGGGGGGGCTTGAGAATCAGCTCACGTATAGCTGCTTTTCCCGGCGCCCCCCGGCGCCGGAGGCGGCCACGCATCGAGGAATGGGCCCCTCGGTGAGGCCGAAGCCAGCTGCATGCAGCAAATTTCGTACCCCCCCCCTTTCCCAATCCCCCCCTTTCGCCCGAGCAGCGCCCACGGGCCGAGCAGCAGAGGCCGCTGGGCGCCGGCGGCGCCGCTCCGAGCGGTGGCGGTGCAAGGGGGGAGCGGCAGGGCGGGCCCGCAGCAGCGAGAGCGGGAGCACCTCCTCCTCCTCCTCCTCCTTCTCCTCCTCCTCCTCCTCCTCCTCCTGCTCCTCCTCCTCCTCCCTCCCTCCTCCTCCTCCTCCTCCTCCTCCTCCTCCTCCCCCTCCTCCTCCTCCTCCTCCTCCTCCTCCGCCTCCTCCGACGTGCAGCCACAGGGGGTCGTCTCTGCTGCAGGGGGGCGGCGCGAGCGGGATGCGAGCGTCGCTGGAGCGACCACAATTAGGGGAGGCTGGGGACGCTGGGCCGTGCACAGCCACCGCGGCGAGCAGCTGGGCTCCGACACCTGACCGGCTGAGCTGCCACTGCTGAAGGGGGCCACCGCTGCGGAGCTGCGGCGACGGAACAGCCGAGCTCCGGCGAGGCAGCCCACATCCGCAGGGAAGCACCCCGGCGGGGCGCAAAATCAGGGGAGAAGAATTGAGCAGGGACCGACAGTCCCGGCATTCCTATAGGCCTACCACGAAATGCTCCCAGAATCCAGACGGTTTCCAATAACAAAAACAAATGTTCTTACAACAAAGACCAGATGTGTTAAACCAGGCAGGTCCCAGCCAGAATTGTCCTAAGCACATTTCGTGGAAACCACTGAAAAAGTTCTTAGAACATTGCTTGGTGGGCCTATAGGCACGCCAGGACGCTTCGCCACTGCTTGAGCAAGAGGGGCGGCCGACCCGGCCAGCGCACGCATGACAGCTGGGGGGCCAGGACCGCCCGGCCGCAGGACTGCGGCCAGGCGCGGGCGCACAGCTGCAGGAGCAGCGGGGCAAGCGGCCCGGCGACGCTGGGCGAAGGGCCTCCCAGCCTCACCGCCTCAACACCCTCCACTTGTGGTGGGGAGGGGGTGGCATCTACTTCCTTGGGCGGGAAGGGGCTCACACTCACCGCGGGCCGTCCTGGCAAGGGCCAGGGCGGCAAGCCATGCCACCTTTTCAGGATAGCACACGCCCCGATCTCCCTGCACCTCCACTGGCCACGGCCCGTCGCAGGCAGCCGCGATCTCCATAGCCTGCCGCAGCAACATCAACCATCACCGCGCGTGCCACCACCGCAGATGGCAAAAACCACCCCCAAGCGCGGTGAAACCCCCTTCCAAGCAGCCACCACTCCCGTGATCTGGGCACCCTACTCCTGCCTCGGCGGGGGAGGGTACCAGTCACGAGGATGGTGGCCGCTCAGGGGGGCTTCCTGTGCGCAGGGGGTGAGACCTCTCTGCCGTCTGCCTTGGCGAGCGTGGCCGGCACCGCCGCCACGCCGCCAATGGGGGAGGGCCCAAACCTCCCTCCGGTCCGGTGGGAACCCCCCAAAGCGGTCTAGAGGCCGGCCTGCTGGGAGCCCTACGCCTGTATGCAGGCGAGAGGGATCCCGCAGTCGGCCTCTAGGACGCCTGTGGGGGATTCCTGCGAGCAGAGGGAGAGGCCCTTGTGCCTTCCCCTCACAGCAAGCGGCACCCAAAGGGGCCCCGCTGAATGGTCTAGCCACCGCCACACACTCTTTCCACCTCAACTGTCGCGCCACTTTTCACCCACCTCAGCCTCCTCCATTCAATCGCCTCCCCCACCACCCCTATAGTCGCCGCTAGCCGCCAGGGCTATCCATGCTCACCGTCAGGGCTGAGCAGGGCTGCCACCACGCCTAGCCATCAGGGCTACACCGGACTCACTTCTATAGCGCTCACTTCTATAGTGCTCACTTTGAAATTGTGGTCCGGAAGGGGCCGCACATGCAGGCACATGCCGCACAGTCGCATGCACATGCCCAGGCAAATATACAAAAGCCTCAACAGCATTGCCGCACATGCGCGCACATGCCACACCGTCCGACGCACAGTCGAATGCACGGTCAAGCAAAACTCTGAAAGCATAGACGCACATGCCCGCACATGCCGCAGAGATGTCGCAGGCGATAGTGGCCTGACCACCTGAGCTCGGGGCATTTCGCAACCCAGAGTTCCGAGGATGTCTCAGGCAAGCGTGGCCGGATCACCATGGGGCAGGGCATCTTGGAAACCAGAGTGGCGAGGATGTCGCTGGTCAAGGTGACCAGACGACCATGGGGCAGGACACCTCCGAGGTCTGAGTTGTGAGGATGTCTCAAGCGAAAGTGGCCTGACCACCATGGGGCAAAAGATCTCTGAGGTCAGAGTTGCGAGGATGTCTCTGGGGAGAGTGGTCTGACCACCTCAGCCCAGGGCATCTCGGAGCCCAGAGTTGCGAGGATGTCTCAGGCAGGACTGGCCTGACCACCTGCTCAGGGCATCTCAGAACCCAGAGTTGCGAGGGTCTCAGGCGAAAAAGGCCGAGACACTATGGAGCAGGGCATCATTGAGGTCAGAGTTGCGAGGATGTCTCAGGCAAAAGTGGCCTGAACAGCTCAACTCAGGGCATCTCGGGCGAGGATGTCTAAAGCGAAAGTGGTCTAACCACCTCAGCTCAGGGCGTCTCGGAACCCAGAGTTCCGAGGATGTCTCAGGCGAAAGGGGCCGAGACACTATCGAGCAGGGCATCATTGAGATCAGGGTTGCGAGGATGTCTCAGGCGACAGTGGCTGACCACCTCAGCTCGGGGCATATCGGAATCGAGACTTGCGAGGATGTCTCAGGCGACCGTGGCCTGACCAGCATGGGGCAGGAGATCTCTGAGGTCAGAGTTGCGAGGATGTCTCAGGCGAAAGTGGTCTAACCACCTCAGCTCAGGGCGTCTCGAAACTCAGAGTCCCGAGGATGTCTCAAGCGAAAGTGGCCGGGCCACCATGGGGCAGGGCATCTCCGAGACCAGAGTTGCGAGGATGTCTCAGACGAAGGTGGCCAGATCACTCCATGTCAAAGCACGTCGGCCTCCAGATTGCCGACGACGTCTCACGCGGAACTGGCCGGACGCGAACGCGCCGGCGTCCGGAGACGAACGCCGGCCCCGGCATTCTTGCACGTCCCGCACATGCACTGCACAGGTACGCACAGTATTCGCACAGGCCGAGCTCGCCGGTGGCCGAGCCAGGCCAGCGATTCCGAGATTCCCTGAGCTCGGGCCGTCAAGCCACTTTCGCCTGAGACATCCTCGCAACTCTCACCTCCTCCTCCTCCTCCTCCTCCTCCCTCCTCCTCCTCCTCCTCCTCCTCCTCCTCCTCCTCCTCCTTCTCCTCTGGCCGAGCCGAACAGGCAGGCGGGCCGGCCGAGCCGGGGGCGCCCGCCTCCTCCGCCCCCCCCTCCTCCCCCCCCTTCCACCTCCCCCCCCCCGTCCCTGTTTCTCCGGCCGAGCTGAGAAGGCGCGCGGGAGAGTATTTTATTAGGCGGGCGCGCCACCGCCAGCTCACGAACCGGGCGAAGAACCGCCCCCGCCAGCAGCGGGCGAGTCTAAACGCACAACAAACTCTTTCAGGAAGCCCTGGCGCACCCCAGGTTTAGCTCTGCGAAGGCCAGGAAGCATTGGAGGCACAGGGGTCCCAGACAGCTCCTAGGGCATGAGCGTGCATGTGCATTGGGATGTGCACGCATGTGCGCCCGCGCGCTTCACCGCATGTGCGTGCATGTGCGGGCCCGCGCGGCCTCCCGAAGAGAGGTTGCACAGGCATGTGCGTGCATGTGCCGATGACAGATCTGCGATTCTCGAACACCTCCCGCATGTGCAGGCATGTGCGCGCATGTGCGTCGGACTGTGCGTGCATGTGCGTATGATGGATACATCAAAACACAGCGCACATGCCCCCGCACATGCCCGGGCACGACGTGCACAGTAGGAAGTCCATCCAAGAAGGACCGCACAGGCCTGGCACATGACTGGCACATGCCGCGCACATGCGCGCACATGACAGCGCAAAAACGGCCGCACATACACCCACCCAGGGGTATAGATGTGAGTGTGGTGTACAACCTGCCGCCACGAGCCTGGCTCAGCAGGTTCGCCGTCGTCGCCCTCCCTCACCACACGCCTCGAACCAACCAGGGCACCTCTACGGAGGGGGGCCCTAGGCACTCTCGAGGGCGGTGGCCCAAGAGGGCGACGCAACCCGAATGAGGGGGGACCTGTACACAGGCTCCAAGGCCAGCGTCCGCAGCTGCTGCCGCCACATGTTCAGCCTCTACCACCTTCCCACCTCTTCGTTACGATCTTATGAGATGATGTGGTTTGAACTTATGTCCCCTCGTTCTCTGCGGGGCCCGACCGGGCATCCCTTGGGGAAGCGGAAGGCGTCTGCCCACTCCATTGCCATCAGTGCCTCAGTGCCTAAGGAGGAGGAGGAGGAGGAGGAGGAGGAGGAGGAGGAGGAGGAGGAGGAGGGCCTCCCCTCCTCCCCCTCCTCCATCCTCCCCCGCCCTGACCATGGCAGTTGTGGTGAAAATCAGGCCCATCCAAAGGAGGGCAGCAGGGCGGGGGACGGAGGAGAGGAGGGCGGGGGCGGGACGCGACGGCTGCCAGGAGCGGCGCGGCGCGGCGCGGCGCGGCGTCGCCGCGCCGCGGCCGCCCGCCCGTGGCGCGGGGGCGCCTGGCTCACGCTCAGGCCGACGACCGCGAGCAGCACGCGCCCGCCGCCTGGGCCGCGGGGGGGCGCGCCCCGGGGGCAGGCAGGCTCGCACGCTGCGGAGGGAGAGGATGAAGGGGAACTGGGACACACAAATAAATACACACAAATAAAAGTATGTCCCATGTTTTCCCATATTTCCTGGGTTTTTGTCTTCCCCTCCACTTCCCATATTTTCTTATATTTTCTGGGAATCGCCGACTAATTGTGCCTGTGTGTTTTTTCCCCTCCTGAGAGAAGAGGGAGAGAGACTTCCGACGGTCCAGCCGAGACTCCCCACGGCACGGTCTCTCGCGCCAGCCGCACCGTGGGTCCGCGGCAGCCCCCCCCCCCCCCCAGAAAAATGATCCCGGCAGAGCAACCTGACAGCGATGTGTAGGAGCGTATCTGGAAGCATTCCCCTCAAGATTCAGATGAGAATCCAGTTGTAGAATTCTGCTGTTCTAGCAGTCGTAGTCGCATTCGCGATGACAGTCGCAGTGGCAACGGCAGTCGCAGTCACAGCCTCAGCCTGCATCAGCCACAGCCTCAGCCTGCCTCAGCCGCAGCCTGCCTCAGCCTCAGCCTCAGCCTGCTTCAGCCTCAGTATCAGTCTGCCTTCAGCCTCGGCCTCAGCCTCGGCCTCAGCCTCAGCCCGCCTCAGCCTCAGCCTGCATCAGCCTCAGCCTCAGCCTGAGCCTGCCTCAGCATCAGCCTGCCTCAGCCTCAGCCTCAGCCTCAGCCTGCCTCAGCCTCAGCCTGCCTCAGCCTCAGCCTGCCTCAGCATTCAAAATGTGGCCCGGGAATGGAGTTCTGGGAACTGGAAGAACACGAAGTGGCCTACAGTTGGCTCCGGGCATTCAAAATCATGCCCAGGAATGGAAATCTGGGGACTCGGCCTCAGCCTCAGCCTGCCTCAGCATTCAGCCTCGGCCTCAGCCTCAGCCTCGGCCTCAGCCTCGGCCGCAGTCTGCCGTCGGCCTCGGCCTCAGCCTGCCTCAGTCAGCCTCAGCATCAGCCTCAGCATCAGCCTGCCTGAGCCTCAGCCTCAGCCTCAGGCTGCCTCAGCCTCAGCCTCAGCCTGCTTCAGCCTCAGCCTCAGTCTGCCTGCAGCCTCGGCCTCAGCCTCAGCCTGCCTCAGCCTGAGCCTGCCTCAGCCTCAGCCTCAGCCTGCTTCAGCCTCAGCCTCACCCTCAGTCTGCCTTCAGCCTCGGCCTCAGCCTCAGCCTGCCTCAGCCTCAGCCTGCGTCAGCCTCAGCCTCAGCCTCAACCTGCCTCAGCATCAGCCTGCCTCAGCCTCAGCCTCAGCCTCAACCTCAGTCTGCTCTCAGCCTCGGCCTCAGCCTCAGCCTGCCTCAGCATCAGCCTGCCTCAGCCTCAGCCTGCCTCAGCATTCAAAATGTGGCCCGGGAATGGAGTTCTGGGAACTGGAAGAACACGAAGTGGCCTACAGTTGGCTCCGGGCATTCAAAATCATGCCCAGGAATGGAGCTCTGGGAACTCGAAGGCCACGAATGGGCCTACAGTTGGCTCCGGGCATTCAAAATCATGCCCAGGAATGGAGCTCTGGGAACTCGAAGACCACGAAGTGGCCTACGCTTGGCTCCGGGCATTCAAAATCATGCCCAGGAATGGAGCTCTGGGAACTCGAAGAACACGAAGTGGCCTACAGTTGGCTCCGGGCATTCAAAATCATGCCCAGGAATGGAGTTCTGGGAACTCGAAGGCCACGAAGCGGCCTACAGTTGGCTCCGGGCATTCAAAATCATGCCCAGGAATGGGGCTCTGGGAACTCGAAGAACACGAAGTGGCCTACAGTTGGCTCCGGGCATTCAAAATCATGCCCAGGAATGGAGCTCTGGGAACTCGAAGAACACGAAGTGGCCTACAGTTGGCTCCGGGCATTCAAAATCATGCCCAGGAATGGAGCTCTGGGAACTCGAAGACCACGAAGTGCGTTACTGCTTGCTAAAAAAGGAGTCCCCTGATCCCATGCGGATCCCGTCCGGATCCCGCCCAGACCCCCCTGAGGAGTCATGATGCTGTCTTTTGACCCCACGAGAAACCTATCAGTCTTCGCTGTTAGGCAAAAACACGCACCGCCCACCCCAAGGTCGAGCAGGTCCTCATGCCCCAGTTCCTTGAGTCGCGCCCCCAGGGGAGGGAGGGGGGAGGGAGAGGGGATGGGGAAGGGAGGAGATGGACCCGATCCGACTCGAGCACCACGGCGCGCTGCAGAATGTGGTGGGGAGAAGGAGGGCTCGGGAAGGGAAGGGGGGAAGCGGCCGCCTCGCGGCGCGGCGGGTCGACGTCGTCGTCATTCGGCTCGCCGCCGTTCAGCTCGCCGCCGCCGCCGGCATCGTCGTCGCCGCCGTCGTCGTCGTCGCCGTCGTTGCCGCCGTCGCCGTTGCCGTTGCCGTCGCCGTCGCCGTCGCCGTCGACGTCGTCGTCATCGACGTCGCCGTGAGCGTCTCCGTCGCCCAGGCTAGCTCCTGGCGCAGAATGGCGCCCCCGACTCGGCACTTGGCCGCGCCCACTTGAACTGGAGCCTCGGGGGCCCTGCTGACCTGATCCAATCTTTGCGCGGGCACCAAGGATGTATGTATGCATGCATGTATGTACGTGCGTTCGTCTGTATGTATGTACATATGTATATATTATCTATATATGTATGTATGTATTGATGTCTGTATGTGTGTATGTCTGTATGTCTGTATGTATGGATGTATGTATGGTCAGAGGGCTCCCAAGATCTACCTTTGAACTTCCCCGCTTGGTTGTGTTATCATTGTTGCGTTGTCTCTTTTCTTGTGTTGCCTGTCCGTGCGATCCTTTGCCAAGGATTTCGACTTGAACTTTCCGATGGCCGGCTTATTGAAAATTCCAACAACACCAGAAAACAGGGAAAAACGTAATAAAACCATAAAGCGCGAACAACAACAGACAAACAAGTGCGGAAACCTTGTGTTTTCACAGGGGTCACCTATCTTGGAAAAAAAGGGATCAATTGTTTGATCTTCAAACCATTATGTCCTTTGAATTGTACTGATTTCTTTAAAAACCCAAAAACACCAACAACAAACTGTAAAGCATGAGTGCGATCCTTGCGCAAACACTGGGATCACCTAATCGAAAGTGAGCCTGGTAACTCAAATAGGGCATATAGCCTGGCAAATTGCATCCATCGCTCTGCTGTGAAGGTACAGTATGAGGGGTGGATGGGTAAGATAGGATAAGATCGATGTAATGATCTTTCCAGCACATAGCGAACACTCGCGGTGTCCGGGCAAATAGGGCGCGCGTGCCTTGAGCCCAAGGCAGCGGCGCGCGAGCTATGCTCCCGATACTGTAACATCTCCCAAAGAGCTACCCTTAAAGTCGGGAGGGGAGGAGACGGAGAGCATAGTCGCACGCAAAGATCGCGCGCACGACTGTTTGCAAAGAAAAGAAAACAGTGCGTACAGTCTGGTCAAACACCAGACTGTAAGGCGAGTTTCCTCGCAAAGTATTTCACGCAAATACAGGACAGCCCCTTCAAACAATGAAGGGCTATCGGCTTAGTTAGAAGTAAGCCAAAATTAGGCCATACCTCACCAAGCAAATGTGTATTAAGGCAAAGAGCCTGAGTTGTACAAAGCCGGCTCGTTGCCAGGCGTGAAATATAAGGCTCGTTTCCGAGCATCTAAAGGGGCGCCTTTCTAGTAGGCGCCCGTGCTGGCAAACTGGACCGCGAGGGCAACAAGGACAGACTAAAATTGATCAGACTCAGGTTTGTCTCTGTCCTCAGGACCCCGAAAGGGAACAAATTGCTTCACGTCATACTTAAATGACTGAGTGCCTGACATCACTTCCAGAAGCAGCTCCCGATCGATGCTTCCCTTTGTATGCCCATCTGCGGTCATATCCCTAGTATCACACCATTGCACATTATGTACTATACCTATATCCATGAGCTCACGTATCCAGCTGATATGTCCAAGCAGAGTCCGTTCTGTAGGTATTTTGAGATCCCTGCTTGATAAAGATTTGTAGACGGACTCAGCGTCTATGGTAAGAGAGACTTTGATAGCAAGGCCTCCAACTTCACGCATGTCTCGTAGTTGTCGTGGAGTCAAAGCCCCTGCCTTAAGCTCGTGGAGAGTAATGAGCGTAGGGTAACACTCATCAAGGTTATGTGCGGCTGCAAGTGCCTCCGCAGCATAACTGGACCTCACCTGTAATCGGTGTGATTTGCATAGTCCGTCACAGAGGTGAACGACGGACTTGCCTTGAGGCGAGTTTCCTCGCCGTAGTACGTTGGCCCCGCGTATGCCGTAGCCCTTGGTCTCGTCATCCTCCTCCCCGGTAAGCTTCCGATACCCCGAATCGCTATGGATGTCAACTTCATTCGTCGGCTTCATCCGAGGGAAGGTGATACGTTTCGGGCTGCTGATCAGCTTTCGCGTCACAGCATTCAAACGTCTGACTTGCAAATTGGTGGGCTCTTGAATTTTCTGAAGAGAGACCACATATACCATGAGCCAGATTTGGGTAAGAAGGGCATAGGCGAGGGCTCCTCGCAGGCTGACGAACATGTCGGTAATGAGTTGCGTGGCTTTGGCGTCGGCCGCCGCTCCTGAAAGTTCTGGGTGCGTGATAGGACGTAGTTGTTTAATGTACTCGTCCTGGTCCATGATCACATCTCCCTGATCATTCTTAGTGTAGCGAACGGCGCAGTTCGTATATGTGTGCTTGTTGAGCTTGCATTTGCCAAACACCTTTTCGACGCGTTGTACATAGTCGTCTATATTTTTCTCTAGACCTGTCATATTAATATCATCGACATGTTTTGCCGTCAGAAGGTCTTGGCTGAATTCAAATTCAGGATCGTAGCTGGTCGGTGTAAGTCCTATAGCTCGTGTGGTCGTACGAAGTTTGAGAGAGAACGCTCTTGGAGCGTCCTTAGTACCCGTTCCTGGTTTGAGGCATCTAAGACAGTGTCGACTTTCGTCGTAGGATGAGAAGCCGGGTAATGTACGAAGTACCTGAGCGC